AATATTAGACATTCAATTCTCTGAAAAATTGAGGTCATGTTTTATAAGATCTTGTTGATTTGTTTCTATAATGCTGTTGTCATATTAAGTTTCCTGATTCTTCATATAACAAGCCTTGAAAAAGCTGGTCAAATCGTGGAGATTGTTAACATAAAACAATAGATTTTTAATTATATTAGAGAATTGATATAACATTATAAAATAAATTGTTGCGGGCGGATCAATATTAGGTCATAATTCAATGATTTTTACCTGGCAACAATGGGTTTGGGTGAGAGTATCGATTAGATTTTGTATTAGTTTCTAATTCTTATACCGATATCTATAGATATCATTTGACATTATGAAAGAGAGTAGGTACTGTAATGTGACTTGCGTTTTCTAAACTTGATACTAACTAACTGGAACCATTGCTTTTTCTAGACAGGAGCCCGAAACTCTTAAAATCAAATTAATTGAATCAATCGTCCAATTCGTTAACAAAATTAATATCTTATTGGTGCCTTTTCTGATAATAAGCGATTTATTGTTCAAAAGAGAATAACACGTGGTATAATTTAAGGTACAGAACAAAAAGAGAAACACATTAATACTATTTAATTTATACATTTCTTAAAATCAGATTTAAAGACTCCTCTAATTCTTTAATAAAAGCATCTGTTTGTTCAGAATCATTTCTTTCCTCCACTTTTCAATACGTATCTCATATTCTTTCTGTCAACTCATTAATAGCTAATTTTCGAGTTTTCTACTCTTCTCTGCTCTTCTGTTTGTTCATCTATTACTGTCACCATTTCATATCGTTCATATACTTCAAATTCGCTTTTTTCAAATATTTGCTGAAACATTTCCCAAGTATCAACAGTAAGTAATTTAGTAGTACCATACGCGTGTTCATGAAAAATGTGTTTACATGATAGCAAATATTTATTGCAAAACAGACAATCGCAATTAATTGAAATTAAACCAGGTGCGTTCTTTCCTTTTTCGATTCTATTCATTACCGAACAAGCTTCTTTAATGAGCATCTGTTGCATCGGATAAGGAAATTTATGAATTTCTTTAAGAATTTCCTCATCTACCCCATAGGCAGATATTTTTTTAACACAAAAGTTGAAAGCAGCATCTTTAGATTCTGCTCGTTTTTTGCAATCAACTTCAACAATCTTATATACAGCGCCTATGAGAGTATTACATGTATAATATTTAATAAAAAAATATTAACTAATTAATTAATAAAAAATTAGAAACATACCAATCAAACCGTAAGTAAAGGATGTTAATCTTTTGAGTTCACTGTGATAAGATTCTAAAGGATTGGTTAAAGTAACTTGCATAAGAAGGGGAGAATGTTGATGTGCCCAAAGAGTCCATCTCTGCATACTTTTTTCATAATTTCTTTGAATGTAGCTTTGAATAATTGATACTGGACAATTCTTGATCGCTTCAGTAATTGCTGTTCACATCCGATTTTTGTTGATTTATACATTGTCATGATCATTTTATCTTTTGTTTTCTTTTCATAGATTTTCGTCATCCATGTTCGCATGATATGAACAGTACAGAGAATAGTTTCACACCCTTGTTTGCCAGCCTGAAGACCAGGAAATGCTTTCTTGATGCTATTGGCTTCAATACTACTTTGGTCCATAAGGATATAATGGGAAGTTCAACATTGATAATTGCGTCTAACAGCTTTTATCGCTTTTGCAATTGTATCACCATCTTCTTTACTCACAAAAAAATGTGCACCAACATTCCAACATCCATAACCATCACGAATATAAAGAATAAAAAGATGCCAATCATGTTTGTTGGTTTTGTGAGTAGAATCAATCAGAGTTAACCATTCATAACGTTGAAGTTTTGTGAGTTGTTCAGGGTGTGTAAAGACAAGACCTTGAGTGGAACGTGAAGATACATGATAATATTCAACTTGATATCCTTGATTTTTTAAATATAATGTCACTTCTGAGATATCAGATTCAATATTAATGCTACCAACAAGGTGAGTTTTCATAGGTCCTCAAACCTTATATTTAAGGTTTGTTACTTTTATTTTTGTTATTTTTTGTACACTTGTTCCAAGACTGAGTTCATTAGTTCCATATTCTTTCACTGCTTTAACAATTGCAGGTGATGGATAATTTTTTATGGCTTCTTGCTCAATCAAATCTCGGATTGCTTGTGAACGTTTTAATCTATCACTATCTTTTATAGTATGTTCATGGTTGAGAGAATTATTATTGTTACCATAGTAACATAAATTTCTCTAATTCAATAATCTTTTATTGATTATGCAAAATTCCCTTTTTCTTAATTTTTATCATTCATTACCTGATTATTATTATTTTTATCCAATCGTATAATTATCTCACTTTTATT